CCGCAGCCCACACCTCCTAATGACCTCTCCCAGCGGTTTCATGTAGATGTTGAATAGCAAGGGGGACAAAATGGACCCCTGCGGAACTCCATGGCATAGCTGCCATGGCGCAGAGCCATAGTCCCCCAGCACCACCTTCTGGAATCGGCCATTGAGATAGGAGTGGAAACACTGCAAAGCAGTGCCTTCAACTCCCAATCCCACAAGCCTTTCCAGAAGGATACCATGGTTGATGATATCGAAAGCCGCTGAGAGGTCCAGGAGAACCAACAGGGATGCACTTCCCCTGTCTCTCTCCCTGCACAGGTCATTATACAGAGTGACCAAGGCAGATTCAGTACCGTACCCGGGTCTGAAGCAGGACTGAAATGGGTCCAGATAATCAGTTTCATCCAAGAGTGCTTGGAGTTGTCCCGCCACCACTCGCTCTAGCACCTTGCCCAAGAACGGGATGTTGGCCACCAGTCTATAATTGGCAGCCACCTCTGGATCCAGGGATGCCTTCTTTAGGACTGGCCGGACTACCGCCTCCTTTAAAGGGGCAGGTACCGGCCGTCCCTTAGAGAGGCGTTCACTACCTCCAGAATCCAGGTCCCAATCCCGTCCTTGGCTTTCTTGAGTAGGGTCCACTAAGCAGGTGGTAGGACGTACTTGTCCAAGCACCCTGTCCACATCATCAGGCTGCAACAACTGAAACTCATCCATCAATTGTGGACCAGACGGCAACACTGGCACCTCCCCAATAGAATCTGATTCACTACTAGAGTCCAGCTCGTGACGAATCTGAGCGATTTTCTCCCTGAAATGATTGAAGTCGTCACAGCGGGCCTTCGAGGGTGGCACGAAATCTTTCTTTGGGCCCGGGTTTACCAGCCCCTGTACCACCCAAAAGAGCTCCACTGGACAGCATTGTGAGGATGCAATGGAAGCGGAGAAGAATTTCTTCTTCGCCGCCCTCACCGCCACAGCATAAGCCCAATAATGGGCTCTTAAGTGTGTTCAGTCAGAAAAGGGTATTTGGAGGGTAGCACCGATACACTACACAACCAGCCAAAGCCCCAGCAAGACTCCAGTTGGTCTCCTCAGACACAAAATAACAAAGCTTCACCTAGCCTACTCATTCACTCAAATACTATAGCAGTCATAGAGATCAATGACACAGGGTAGTACAGCATTCTTCAGCAAGTAGCCCAACAGCATGTGTGGACACTATCCCTGAAGAGGTACCAGGAGCCTCTTCAGGCTGTCGTCTTTTATCCCCCACCCCCCATCCTGATCAGATAACACCTGGGGTGATGGATCCCGGGTGAGGACCATCTGCCCTTAGTGTCCCATGTCCTGTCCCTGGGAATGTGAATAGTCTTATCCTTGGATATAATTCACAATATCTCTCCCTTCTGCATACCAAGAGCCTATCTGGTCCTGTCTCGACCTTGAGCTCCAGTATCTCATTAACCAAACACTGGGCAATTGTAACAATTTCTCCTTCTTGTCAGTTAACTCTTCCTCATCAGGTGAAGCCTCTAGCCAGTTCGCATTACAGTAACATCAAACAGTAGATCAACATAAACACCCTTTCATTTGTATTTGTACAAAAATGTTAATGCAGCCCAAAATTATGCATATTTACTCAGAAGTTAACTGTGTTCAGTGAGGCTTACTTCTGATAAATGTGCATCTGATTATAGTTGTAGAACTGCAAATCTACTAGTTATTGGTTTAATTACAGATACAGGAAATTACAGATCAATAATGCTGTAATTCCAGTATAAATATTACAGTATATAATTTGGTTTTAGATGTAAAATAGCATGGGGGCACTTCTGGCTTCTGGAAGAGCAATTTTATTCTAAATATGCTGACCAAGAGCGATTACAGTCTAGTTCAACCATTTGCACTCAGCCAGTCAGGTTTTGTTTTTTGTTTTTTTTTTTTGCGGGGGGGCGCTGGCTGCTTTTACTCTTGTTCTCTAAGAAACTCACCCCATCACTACTTTCATGTTATATTACATATCGCTTTTCTGAGAGCATCTGATCAAGAAGTTATAAGCACCCTGGAGAGCATAGTACTCATTTAGCAGTTCTCTTTAAATCATGGTAATTGAAATAAATACAGTATTGTTTCAGAGTAAACAGTGAGTAAACACTGAAAGCAAATGGTAAAAAGAGCTGTACACAAAAGAAAGGTGAGAAGAGAACGAGGAAGAAAATTAAATTAGTCCACTTTGCCATATAGATTTGTTCCTTTGGAATCTAGCACCATTAAAAAAAGTTTAGTCCTCTTAAAACTAGTCTCTGAATTGTATTAATTGCACATGGTTCCCGTAGAGATTGTAAATGAAATATGACTGCTTCCGAGATGATTTTTCTAAAGTCTGATTTAGGCAAGCATGTTATGGACTCTTTGCTACTTATAACAGTTTTGTTGTTTCGCAAATCAGAAGAAATACTGATGAGTGATAAAGCATCACAAAACATGCATTTTTTTGTCTAAATGGAGCAGAATGAAATTGTGTAATAGCAACACATTTGTGCTTTCCAAAATATGGTCATGAATATGTGGGCAGCATTCACCTGCAGATGCTCATTTACTAATCACAGTCATTACAGCTGACAATATAAAAGCATTCTGGAGTTACAAAAAGTCTGAAAGCTAATAAAGTATCACACATTTTACTCAAGAAAAGCCTTTTCTTTTCTCCTGGAAAGTCTCAAATATTCTGCACTCCACCAATCCAATAGCAAGGAAAGAGTTTTACAAAAAGCTTCATTCCATAGGTATTGCAACTGCTAACACAAAGTTAGCAACTTTAACACAAAGTTGAGCCAACTTGGAACAGGGGATGGAAGGAGAGAGAAAAGAGCACTAGGTATTTCATGGTGCTTCTTTTCTTAAATAAAATATTAAAGAAATGCTTTGTTCACTTCAGTGAACTTCAGAGCTTTATGATGGAGATCATTTTAAAGATATTGGATATTTTATCTCACACTGCTCAATATGGGGCACCTTTCACTGTTTCATAATAGGTGACAGATTTACACAAGACCATTTTATGCAAATGTTCAGTAATAGTATATTGTAAAATATAGTCCCTTGAGGCATAATTTCTTGCTTAACTGCTTTGAATTATTAAGTCCCACCAATATTTGAGGTGAAGGAGATGCTGACTGCAAGCAGCACCTTTTCAGCTGAGGCAACCAAACTGAAGAATTCGCTCCTCAGGGACACTTGCCTGGTGTTGTCTTTCTTTTCTTTTCAGTATAAGGTAAAAAAACCTTTTTATTTGCCCAGGACCTTTAGGCTTTTAAATCTGTCTACAGATGCTTTATGGTAGATTTTTATTTTCTCTGCTGCTGCTGTGTTTTAGTGCCGTTATTTGTTGTTTTTATCTTTGTAAGCCACTCTAAGAGCTTGAGCTGAAGACTGACCAATAAATCATCAAAAGGAAAGAAAAGGGAAAAGAAAAGACCTAATTCACAAAGGGCATCCCTGTTGGCTCAGTTAATTCTCTTGGATAATGCAGGAGTTCCCTAAATTGAAAATTCTCACATTTATCCCCACAACAACCACCCTGTGATATAGGTTGGGCTGAGAGTCTGTGATTGGTCCAAAGTCACCCAGCTGGCTCCATGGCTGAGTGGGAACTAGAACCCGTATCTTCTAAGTCCCAGTCCCATGCTCTTAACCACTACACCACACTGGCTCTCACAGTACCATTCATAGCTTCAAACTGACCAGAATTTTATCTAAGGCAACTGCAAGCACTGGAGAATGCAGCAAAAGAAAATAATCACAATCAATTAATTATGGCATTATTCTGGACTTGCCTGTCTAAGTAGGGAGCTGGGGTCGCTATTTTATGGTGACACCATTCCTTCTTGGAAAGTGGCTTCTGTAAGATGATGCTGAAAGATTATTGCTCTGTTCTATGGCAACTATATCACACCTGGGGTTTCACAGGGCTCAGTTAAATTTCCCATGCTATTTAACATCTACATGAAACCAGTGGAGAATGTTATTTGGGGATATGGGCTGAGATGCTTTAATATGTTGATGACACCCAACTCTACCTCTCCTTTTCCTCAGCCTCAAAAGAGGCAGTGGATATCCTGGATTGGTGCCTGAACAAGATAAAAGACTAGATATGGGCCAACAAACTGGAGGTCAGTCCAGACAAGACAGATCTACTGCTAGGAGGTGGTTTATCTGCCTGCTTGAATGGCATTCATACTGCTGTTGAGAGGGTTTTATCCCTCTGAAAGATTGGACATGCAGCTTTGGGCTACTCCCAGATTCATGATTGTCACTTAATGCCCAGGTAGCCTTAGTGGCCAGTAATGCCTTTCATCAGTTTAAGCTGGTATACCAGTAGGTGAGCTAACCTGAACAGGGAGAGTCTGGCTGGTGACAGAGAAAGTCCCTTATCCGTGCTTTAGTAATCTTCCAGCTGGGTTCCTGCAATGTTCTGTACTTGGGCCTACCTTTGAAGACAGTTCCAAAACTTTATTTAGTTCAAAATAATCAGGATTGGCTGATATGATCATGTGATGCCAGTGCATCAATTGCATGGGCTCCTAGTTAATTTCTGAGCCAAATTCAAAGTGTTAGCATTGCCCTTTACAGCCCTAAATGGTTTGGTACCTGCTGGGACCTTTAGGTCATCTTCAGAGGCTGTCTTTTAGGAGGCCCAGTTGAAGGGCACTAGATGGGTGGCTATAGGAGAGAAAGTCCCCTCAGTTGTGGAAGCTCACTTATGGAATGAAGAAGAGGTTATCCTTGCACCTACATTGCTAGCTTTTCTCCCACACAATTTAGAGACCTAGTGCTAGTTTTGTGCCTGTTCTGTCAATTCCTTTGCTGTTCATTGTTCTGCATTTCCTTACTCTTTTAAATAGCTTCTTTCAATTTATGTTTTTAAGTGTTCTATATTTTATTCTTTTAATTGTTGCAATCACCCCAGAGAACATTAGTTACTGGGTGAATTAGAAAGATAATAAACAAACAAACAAATAGTATGGACTGTAATCATGTTAACATCATCACCAGCCTATTACATCACCTCAGCAGTTGCAGCATTATGGGATATTCCACTAACACAAGAACTCAGAGGCCACATAAAAGGAGATTATGATGCTTGGAAGAGAAAATCGCATGCTCTGCTTTGTCCAGATTAATTTGAGGTTTCTGTGTTATGGAATAGTGTGAGAAGGGGCTGCTTTGTCAAAAATAAATAAAATTATTGTTTGGCATCAAATGAAAATGGGAATTGCATCTATACTTTTTACTTGGACTTCAAAAATCCTTTTGACCAAATCTCTCAGCAGTAACTCCTGAATAAGCATAGCAGTTATAAGATAAGAAGAGAGGTCCTCTTATGGATCTGAAACTGGCTGAAGGACAGAAAGCAGAGACAGGAATAAATTATCAGTTTTCACAATGCAGGTATGTACACAGTCGAATCCACCCTTAAAACAACAACCAACCACATTTGTGTATGTTAGACACATTTACATGAAAAGGTTAGCTATAAACAATATAATCACTACATCACTATCCACCTGCCATATCATATTAGCATTCAAAGAAAAATGCCTAAAGATCAAATTGGATAAAATAGATAATTGTAATAAAGCATTAGTTTTCCTCTATTTCTTGTAATATAAGACTGTAGATTAAGCCAATGAATCTGTGTGGAGAGGAGATAAAAGGAAGCAACTTTTCACACAATGCATAGTTAAGCTATGGAATTGACTACTGCGAGTTGTGGAGATGACCAGCAATTTATATGGCTTTAAAGAGGGATTTGAAGAATAAGGTTCTCAATGACTACTAAGTCACAATGGCTGTATATTGCTTCCATGATCACAAGCACTATAGCTCTCTCTATCAGTTGCAGGGAAAAATAAGTATGAAAGCTAGATTTTTATTGGGTGTCTATCATTGTTCAATGCATTCATTCAACACTTCTTTGTCATTGTGCATTGCAGAAAAAAAATCAGTAGTGGCAGACAAGATGTTTTTCAGATTTTTGCCTACTATTTCTGATGTTTTTGAAGAAAAAAGCCCTCACAAAATTCTAAGGAAGTCAAGGGCACCCCACACGCCAATTTTAAATCCATAAATTTTATATTAAGACATGTCCAGGTTGTACTGATGTTCTATAGTTTCAGAAACAGGCATATCAGGAATTCTAGATCCACAGCAAGATGAACTCCTCCCAAGAAAATTTCTAGTAACTACCAGAAAAGCAGTTTATACTTGCTGTGCACAGTCTGTCACTTGTTTTAGCATCATTTAACAGGTATTTGCACAAACTGCTCAATATTTGTTGACTGTGCTGCAATAAATCAGGCAAGAGTGAATTAATGCAGATGCAGTAGGGTTGCATACAATCTGAGTTTCAACTGTTTCCCTTAATAAGGACCAACCTGACTTCAGGCACAAAGTGATGATTTCCTAGTTACTCAGGCTGCCTGATCTGGAAATGTACCACGTGACCTGTTCTAGCAAAGGCAAACTTTTGCTGATAGATCTGTGCTTTGGTTAGCACTGGGTAGTAGTGAGCAGGATAAAGCCCACCTTTCAACTTGCCAGGAAAAAGCCAACTGAAAACTGGGACAATTTACACATAAATCCAGATATTTCCTTTCCTGGGTAAGAAGAAAATGTTTTCTTTGCATGTAGGTCACCAAATATTACCATGTGGATATACATTGAATATACTGTTCAGGTGAAATAAATATCCAGTTACACAATGATAAAAGCAAGTTACTATACCTGTTAAAATGACATCTACCAGTACATCTTCATATGTAGGATTCTTGAAATTTATGATGATAGAAGAATGGTGGCCAAGGCAAGAACTTACACTAGCTGGCTCCATTGGCTGCGGAATCAGACCAATCCCAGACAAGAAAAATATCCATTCCTCAAGCTGTAGAGAGAATAAAAATATTCATATTGTAATGAGCAATCCCCTGTAGTATTTTTCCTCATGTACTTGGAAAATGTAATTTTCAAACGAAACACTGGTGGCTCCCTGTCAAGTGGCTATTGTACACATGTGGCAACTACAAAGTGTTGCAAACTCAGGGCTGCCTACAAGAAAGGGCGTTTTCTTGCCCCTGAAGAGTGTCATACATGTACGGTCCCACAATGTCTGCTTGGAACTTTGAATTTACATCTGTTGTGCAGTTTCCATGTAATGATGAGATGGAAAATTATGACGATGCTAAAGGCAAGTTCTTGTGCTCATTCAAGAGCTTTTTACATGGCACTGCAGGTAGTGGACTCTCCCTCAATATATATAAGATATATAAGATAAGGCATAGCTACATGGAGGTCTGATATGTGCAATTTTCCCCCATCAAAACCTGGAATACATGCCATCCTATGCTGTGTGCCACCCTATGTTGTGTGCAAGATGGATGAAACTGCAGCAACAATGGAAGGTCTGTTCAAAGCAAGTGAATTCTTTCTACAGAAAAGACATTACTGTTGATGTAGGGACTGGACCCATTTCACCTGCAAAATGCCTTCAAGGAATGTGGGAATGGATTCTGACTCGAATGAGGAAGAGGGATTAGAATTTGCAACTGGGATGTCAAAGCAAGTGAACTCAGAGTTAAACCAGGCTGTAGTGGAGAGTCATTCAGCTTCCAACAACATGGGAAGACAAATGGAACCTGCAAATGAGGAGGATCTGCCATCAATAATTCCAGGTTCTGGTGTCATAGGGAAGACCAGCTGAGAAGTGTCAGGTGCTTCAGGTGATTGGCCCCATCACCTGAAGAAAAACTATCTTTCTAAGAAAAACTATCTTAGAAAGATGTGTGAGTATTGAGTTTGGAAGGGAAGAATGGTATTCAGTTTGGAATCAGCAATAGGTCATACTCCCTAATAGCTAGTATTCTGGCTATCTTTCTTTCATTTGTTATCAAATTCTACAATAAATGTCACCCCGATTGGCTTGCATTAATTTAACAAAACTTCTAGTTAGGAGGCCACTGTTTCAAGCTGCTTGGAGAAGGAGCAAAGTTATAGAAGGTGACCTGCTGAGTTTTTCTGGAGTTCTTTTAAAGACGAAAATTTATGCAATAGAGATCTAACCCTTCAGTGTGAGTATTTCCAAGAGTTGATTCGTGTATGCAACAATGAAGTGGCTAGCACTGCAATCCCAAAATCATTGGGTTTGTTTGAATGCCATGTTAAGCAATGATGGGTCAGTTGCTTGCTCATTAACCTAACAGACAGCCAAATACTCTCCTGCTATGGCTTATTCCCTCCTCCCCACAGTGTCCTGATGGCTCCTAGCATGGATCCAGGCTCCTTTGTAGAACAACTCCTTCTTTCCTAATCAGTATCTTTCTGAATTAGTACACTGGTGTCACTAGCTCCTGAAAAATTCTGCCCCTGCCATGAATCAAATCACCATTAATTTACTGGGTTCTCATGAGTTCAGTAATGTGACTGCAACTCTTTTTTTTTTCTTTTTTTGAGGGGTGGGTCAGGGTCTTGCAATCTTGCACTCTGCTTCTCACCCCTGTTGTTTATTTTGGTATTAGAGGTATTGAATAGAAATGTCAGGGATGACGAGCACATTAAAGGTACTAGAATTAGGGATGGAAGTTATAAATTGCAAGCATTTGCAGATGATTTGGTCTTCATAATGGAGGAATCCTCTGTAACAATGCCTAAACTTTTACAACGGATTGAATATGGTGAGGATACGGGGATGAAAATAAATAGAGAAAAAACAAAGTTGTTAGTGAAAAACTTCACGCAAGAACAAAAAAAAAAAAAGATTCCAGGAACAAGTAGATCTGCAGCTTGTTAAAAAGGTTAAGTATTTGGGAATCTATCTTACAGCCAAATGTACTACTTTGAAAGAAGCTAATTATGATAAATTATTGAAGGATATAAACGGTGATCTGGAAAAACGGGCCAATTTACAATTATCTTTGATGGGAAGAATAGCACTTGTTAAAATGAATATATTACCTAAACTTTTGTTTTTGTTCGATGATTCCTGTAAAAATTGATTAAAAAATCCTTGATGACCTAAACTTTCAAATTTCGAGATTTATCTGGAGAAAAAAGAAACCAAGGATTAAATTTAAAATGCTTCAGGAAGCCAAAAAGAACGGGGGTTTCGGTCTTCCTGATTGGATGTTGTATTATCAAGCGTCTGTTCTAACTTGGCTAAAAGAATGGATAATTTTGCGAAATAAGAGAATTTGTATCTTGAAGGTCATGACTTGCAAATGGGTTGGCATGCTTATATGTGGTATGAGAAGGCTAAGTCACATGGGTCTTTTCTGAGTCACTTTATTAGAAGATCATTAATGTCAGTGTGGAAAAGGCTAAAGTCAAAAGTGTATAATAAACTACCAAGATGGCTTTCACCTATGGAAGCTTTTGCATATCCAAATGTATTGAACTCTGAAGGGATCATAAGATATGACGATATCTTGGATAAGGATGAAGGCCTGAAACTAGAAATACAAGAACAGGGATTTAATATCTCCTGGTGGTACAAGGTGCAGATGCAATCGAGATATGCTAAATATTATAAAGTATGGAGGTGTTACAAAGACTTAACAGCATTTGATCAAGTGATGCTTAAAACAGATGAGAAAATGATTAAAAGATTATATGATTTTTTACTTGACAGGAAAATGGAAGAGGAACAAGTTAAGAAAACTATGATAACATGGGCACAAAACTTTGGATATAATCTTGAATTAGAAAAGTGGGAAAAGCTATGGGAGAGAAATATTAAGGTAACATTAGCAACTTCGTATAAAGAAAATTTATATAAAATGTTCTATAGATGGTATTTGTCGGCAAGTTGATTAGCTAAGATGTTTCCAAATATGTCAAATGGATGTTGGAAATGTAAACATAAAGTGGGTACTTTTTATCATATATGGTGAACCTGTGATAATGTGAAAAAGTATTGGATTAAAATTCATAAATGGCTGGAGGAAATACTACAAAAACCCGTTGCTTTTAAACCTGAAGTTTTCTAGTTAGGCATCATACTGGAAGATATTAACAGACAGGAAATGTATTTGATGTTTCATTTAATCACAGTGGCGAGGATTGCATTTGCTCAATACTGGAAAAGTGAGGATCTACCCACTGATGAACTGATTCTAAGAAAGATTCTGGACTGTGCAGAAATGGATAGATTAACTTTATCACTGAAGGAGAAAGAAGACACTGACTTCTATCAAACTTGGGATTTTTTTTATGATTGGCTGGAGAAACGGGACTTGGCGTAGACTTAGAGATGTTTTTAAGTTATTATAAACTGATTTGAATATGATTATAGAATGTTAAAAATATGTAGCAGGGGGCTGACCCAGTAAGTCCGATTTTTATTTATTTTATCGATTTATTTATTGATTTATATCCTGCCTTTTTCCTCAAAGGGCTCAAGGCAGCTTACATCATTCTCCTCCTCCTTCATCTTATCCCCACAACAACAACCCTGTGACGTAGGGTGGGCTGAGAGGCTGTGACAGGCCCAGTCACCCAGTTGGCTCCATGGCCGAGCGGGGACTCGAACCTGGGTCGCCTGAGTCCCAGTCCCACGCTCTTAACCACTGCACCACACTGGCTCTCATACGATACATACAATGTATACATACGATGTATGTGATGATTGATGTTTTTAGTATTAGTTTAAAATTTTAATAAAATTTCTTTAAAAAAAAAAAGACCACCAGACTGCTATTTAGCCAAGTAAATTAATATAACACTGTCTTGTCAGTTTCAACCTCCATACTGGATCTCTGTTGTTAGTATACACTTTTCTTTAGAGGCAGTTTCATATTCAAAAGCTACAGGTTCTTTTCTCCTTCTTTAGCTTCCAGCCCCTTTGGCATTTGTGACTCTCTCACCCTGCTGCCACCACGAGTCTCCATTGCGACAAGCTGTCAGATATATATGTGGGTATAGGGGCATAAGGAAAATCACTACACACGCACAAATGCTATGGCATAGCAAAAAAAAAAAAAAAAAAAGGGGCCAATTGTGTAAATCTCATGGCAAATGCTAAGAAGAAAATTACGCAAATTTCCAGCAGCAGACATTCATTCCTGCACATTCTTTTTTTATGAAAATAAAAAAATAAAAATTAATATATAATTGGGACACTCTCAGCTATGCTTTCCTCCTGATTTTTAGGACCATGGAGTGCACTGAGAAAAGATAAAGGGAGATGGCTGTAGTGTTATCCAGATCACAAGGAGTGGTGGGGGTTTCAGCTCTCTTGCTGCAAGGCTAAATGTTCCCAACAACCCACAATGTATTCATCTCAATGGTCTGGACATCAAAAGAAGCCACAAGGGGTATGAAAATTCCAACAAAATCTAAAATAAGCTGCCCTAAAGAAACCATGACACATTCATACAACACAACAACTTCTCAGCCATGGTCTTGTGAGAATAAACCTGGTTACTTACTAGGATTAAACCTAATGAGATTTACTTCTGAGTAAATATGTGCATAGCACTGTACTATAAATTTGCCAACCATGTGTCATTTTACTAATACTTAACAAATACTGATATCTGGCCATAGGTTGAAATGTAGAACTTAGCCAATAATAGTTCTGAAGGCATTCCAACAATGTGGATAAAAAGAATTCAAGAGATAACTCCAATAAACCCAAATTAAATACAAGGTATCAAGCTCTACTCCAATACAGGCAAATTTATTTTAACAGAACATGTATGGAAACAGTGCTAGATAGGTAGCAACCCAATTCTGATAGAATTTATTTGGCTTTGGAAGAAAAAAAACCTAATGTCTCCCACTTATTTTCCTTAATTGGCAGTAAGTTCATTAACCAAGCATTAGGAGGAGAATTTCTACTGGTTCATTAACTAGTACTGCTTATTTTCTTGAGGTATACTTGAGAAGATACATTATTCATAGCAGCATATTAAATAGTAGAAGTGTAAGCAAAGAATATATATGGCAGGGTCTAATAATAGATCCTGTTCACCTCTAACATTCGGTAGTACTATTAGTCTCACTCCATTACGAAAGGATGTTGCTAGTTTGCTAGGAGAAATAGGTGATATAAGTATATTAACATCTTGGATAACTGTTATAGTCAACCTGGCATTTCAGTTGTGCTGCCCCAACAAAGTTAATTTCAGTGATCACAAGAGCAAAGTAACTACAGTCTGAATTTAAATTCTTATTTCAGAGAGTTCTGTGCACAGTTCCAAACCAGAAACAAATGAAGCAGATAATAACCCGTAGCCATTTCTCTCAATACGGCAATGAAGCACAATCAGAAACAGTTAAGGCTTGTCCTATAAGTGCTGTCATTAGTTGATTTTAGATTAGTCAGCTACTCAGCTATAAGATGGCTTAAAGTGTCAGTTCAGAAGTATTTAATCAGTGAAATCAAGGGAAGAAAATCAATGCCATTTTTTAAGGTTAAAGTTTTTGCCATGCCATGCTTTTTATATATTGTGAAAAAGGCTCCTGGAGGCCTTTGTTAAAGCATCTGGTCATTGGACTGGCAAAAACAAACACTTACTGATATATTTTTAGTGTAATTATTATAATGGAATAATAATCTAATACCAGGGTCTTAAACAGAGAAGCCAAAAGTTTCAAATGATTTAGGGATGAAAAGAGCAAAGAAAGGTCATAAAAGTTAGACTAAAACACTGAAAATGTTGAAGGAACTCAACATAGCAAGTGAAAGGATGAGATATTGATTAAAGGTTTGGCGGAGATAAAATCTTGGAGATTTGCCACTATTTGACAGGAGAGACACACACTGACAAAAAAATAAGTGTCAATTTGGACCTGTAAGGTTTCAGTGAATTATTTACTTATTTTATTGCTTTGGTATTTGATAAAGAATAAAACTTTTAATTTATTGATCAGAGTTCTATGAGCTATCATGTGTTTAGGCTGAATAATAGCACTTTATCCTCCCAAATTGTCCTTGGGTATAGCCCATATATATCTAAAATGCCAGCACTTTGGCTTGCTTGTTTTCTCCTCCAAGCAATATTAAAGCAGAAAAAAGAATGTAAGTAGTGTAGATTTCAAATTAAACTAGTGTCCTCTGCTTAGGTGTGAAGATAACAAGACAATTTTAATCACGCACACACAAAATGCAATTTAGGATACAGGCAAATTTCTGTAATTTTCTTTATCCTGATTTAAGAACAGGACAGAATATCTGATAATTTTACTTTCCTATTCATTTCAACAGAGACAAATTGAACCACTCATTGGTAAGTCAAATATTTTTAAAAGATGAAAAGAAAGACAGAAGATGAAACTCCACAGGTCAACAAGCCCCATAATCATTAAGGTATTTATAGAGTACAGAGTGGTTCAGTTTTACTTTTAAAAGCATTGCAAATATTTCAACTAGCTTCTGGGGTCCAGAGTAACCCCACAGGCTTCTGGCAGTTAAGATAAAATCAATTAAATAAAATACATGTACCATGCAATCCTATAAATGTCCCACTAAGCACAGTCAGGCTTACTTTTAGATAAGTGTTTCTGAGATGACAACCTAAATCTTCCAATCTTGTATAACTGAATTGTGGTTTGGGCTGTAAATCACTTCTTGTAGAAAAGACATGCCTTTTTGCTGTATTATAGGGAATCATGCAGCTGGTAATCAACTGAAGTGTTTTACAAGTGAGAATCCCACTGGGATTCAGAACCCTGCCGAGAATGAAGAAAGGGTATCATATGTGTTAGAAACCAAACATTTCACTCAGGCACAAAAGCCCATGCTTCCATTACGGTGTTTGTGTCAGAATATTAGCTGTGCTGTTTCATATCCAATTGCAGTTTTTAGTAATATAGATTAATCATATTTATTTATTTATTTATTTATTTATTTATTCCTTTTCAAAATTCATGGCAATGAAGAAAAATGTTAATATTTTTAGAAACTTTACAGTGAAGACAGATATTATTTTCAAATACAATTTAGTAATTAATAGTAGAAATGAACATTTGAGTTCATCTTAAAAATCAACCAGCACAGCTTATTCAAAGAACAATGGCATTTGTACTTGTACACATTTTGGAATACCTTCCAGAACTTTAACCAAGCCAGAATTGTTCATAACTTTGGTGTAGTGGTTAAGAGTGCAGGACTTGGACTCAGGAAATTTGGTAACAGTTCCTGCTCAGCCATGGATCCAAATGCGTGTCTTTGGGACAGTCACAGACTCTCAGCCCAACCTACCTCACAGGGTTGTTGTTGTGGGGATAAGATTGAAAAAAAGAAGGAAAAGAATGATGTAAGCCACTTGGGAGTCCTTTGTAAGAGAAAAGAAAGGATATAAATCTAATAAATAAATAATACACAATCCCATCACTGTCTACTCAAAAGTCATCCCAACTGAGTTCAATGGGTTTAATTCTCAAGTAGCTCTGTATAGGACTGCAGCCTGAAAATCTCAATCAACCGCATTTATTGTTTATATATATTTGGGCATGATTCGGTTCATGAAGAACCCAGCATTTAATATCTGATATGTTTTTCACCAAGATTAAGAAATATGTGGTTCATGAGCTTTGCTGGGCCCTGCAGCACTTTTCTCCAGCCTGTGCAGCCTCGTGCCATTTCTTATCCCCAGGATAATAATTCAGGCTCAAAGGCAAGAGACTTTGTCCAAGAAAAATGCTTTGGTGGGTAAGAAACAGCTTACCCACACTCCAGTGTCTGCATATGTGATGGACTAAAGCATAATTTGTTCCAGTGCTAAATAATATTTCATTAATTAGATTAAATTGAGCATCATAAGTTCCTAAGAAAAGACATGCTGGATCAGATCAAAGGTCCAGCACTCCATACACATGGTGGCAAATTGGCTGCCCACAGGATCTCTCAAGCAGGATGCATACAAGACCTCCTCCTGCTCAAGCTCTTCAGCAAGTAGAATATGCAGGCATGACACCTCCAGGAAAGAGGTAGCTCCTAGCCAGCAAGGCAATAGCCACTGACAGTCTCCTCCATTATGCCTAGAATAGAGTTTGCTTTCTTCACAGCAGTTGAGCGCTGGGCCAGTATCTTCATCAAGCTGTCCACTACTACCCCAAGATCCATACCTGTGAACATGTGAAACTGATTCTTGCAGTGTGACTGGCTCTTCCCAGGGCAGAAGGACAAAACTGAACTGGTACTTCTGTAGTGGAATGTGGAGCTACAATCAGCTGCAATAGAAAGGGTAGAGGAGCAAAAGCACAACAAAAATCAATGCTTTTTTTAGAGCCATTCTTTCCTTGTGCCTCATATTGGCACAGTTGATGTTTACGTGATTAATGTGTTCCACTGTATGCCTTCTCTACTCTCAGCAGGCAGGATCTGCTAAGACTGATAAAGTGCATTGCAGTAAACAGTGGCAGTCACAGCACGTTTATTCCCCAGAAACTAAAAACATTGTGATACCAACCACAAAGAGGGAAGTGGAGGTTGTTTTAAAGTTTGGATGAAAGAAAGAGAACTCCGGTTTTTTTCAGGGTATATACTGCTACGTTATCTTTCCTTCTTTCATATCACAGAGATAGTTTTTAAGTGTTATACGCTGCACAATTTTTAAAAACCCTCAATTTTTAAATGGCAACACGAAGTATATTTTTGCATGCTCTTGTCTCTCTGTTTTCCTCCCACAGTTATACACATTCATATCACCTCCAAGAAATTGCTATGCTGTGATTTACTTACTCTAAATGACAAGGACTTGGTTCACAATTACATAGAGAAAGGAAAAAGATAAAACTGTTCAGAGCTTCTAAGCAGGGAACCAATATCCAAAGCCAGGAATAAAATCGCATAGTACAATTCAACCCTATGCCAAATGTTCCACCAGCATAGCTGCCTTAGAAGTAATGTTCCAAACTTGAAGTAATAGTCTTCTGAAGATGGTGTGGCTGTTGAGGCATAATCTTTTAAGAAATTGGTCAAGACACTTGAATTTTAAGTTATTCATTCTTATGAAGCATTTTCAGTAAGGTAGCACATTGAAAGACTGAATAGCCATCTTTTCAAAACTGGACCAGTGGCCACCCCTACTTCTACTGATCAAATCAATCAAAACTTTCTGACAAGTACCAAGTATCAAATCTTGGTAAAAAGTCAATAACATTGCAAGTCAGGTTGACAAATATGTTTTGCCATAGTCTTCATCTCTGGATTAAATCTAATCTTTCATTTACCTACTAGGAACTATCCCAACTTTACCCTGATCTGACATATTTTGCCAAATTCTGCCCATGGTGACTGGCCAGATTCCAGCCAGACTTGACTTCATGCTTTCTGTCTCTTGAGTGCCCAGGTTCATCCTGCTCTCTGGCTCTGCCCAGAGAGAGTTGTAACCATTATAACCTTATTACAACATGAGCAGGAACTGTTATATTTCATCAACTGAATGGTTATGATCAAACAACATAGATAGGTACTGACCACAAAAACAAAAACACACAGCAGTTATACCATTTAACCTAACAGAGGTCAAGTCACTCTAATACTACAAGAGTTGGCAATGAGAAAGCACTGTATTAAGTATCTGTAAGCAACTGTTAAATAGTAACAGGCAAAATAATTAGAACATCATCAGTAATACACTAAACTGCCAAAGAGCGTACGGTGCAGCCAGTATTAAAAGGTTTACAGTCAGTTTTGCCTGCTAAATATACTTTGAAATCAACTTGCACTAGCAGCTTCTTATACTATGGCAAGAGGTATTACAGAATTCAATCTATACAATGTTAGGAGCTGGTAATTGGTGTGCTGTATTCTAACAGAATTATTTCTCTAAACAATATGGCTGAATTAAGTTGATTGTTAATATATTTTCAAAACTAAAAAAGAAACATAACACAGAAATATTTGTTCATTACAAATCTAAGAAAAATAGCTAGACTTCCAATTTTAGTAATGAATTAGCTGGAAATTTTTTATTATATCAATACAACAAATATACAAATTAGAATTTATATAATCGAACAGCACTGTCCTGTGCCGACTGTTTTCAGTGGGTTTAACTCCCAGGAAATCATGTATAGATTGTAAGCCTATGGGTATTACCATGAAACATTGATGGAATTTCATGGGGCAGCTTTCATAAAAAGGTTACAATCTTATTCATTTGGCAAATTTCCAGTTTCCAGAAAAAGTCAAGTTTTTAAAAAGTCAAGCACATATGCAGAACAACATCAGCAATACAGAATTCCACAAAATATGTTTTACTGTACAGCATTTTTATTTAAGAAATTTGATCAAGCAATGCTTCTCAGCAATAACCCATTTCTATAAAGGATTTTGGAAGGTAGTCAGTAGGGCAAGGAAGCTGTGGGAGGTGGTTGGGGGGGGGGGTGAAGTCATGTATCTGTGCCAACATCCACCAAGTCCTTTGATTAAAACCAGAGAGCAGGCTAAAAGAAAAAGGTTTTGTAGGAGTCAGGCCCTACCACGTGAGGTACTCCTACTTGCAGAAATTTCTTTTCTGGTTTCTGGTCTGCTAGTTACACTATACTTTTCCCTTTGTGTTAGGGTTTGGTGAAGATATATTGGTTGATATTTACCCGACACCTTTCAGGCTCCTGCTGGGGACTTCTTTTCCACTCTAACGCATCGACCTCCCTACTCCTTCCCTACCAAGAGGTTTGTTCCCTGACTTTTTAAAAAATCACACTTGAGGATGAAAGACTTTCAAGCCAACACATGAACTTTAAGGTATATAACTATTAGAAGCTATGTGGGATCCATTTGCCTTCTGAAATATCATGCTACAGTCTGGAGACTTCAGCTGAATCAAAATAGAGCAGCAAGGCTGCTTACAGGGACTGGTCCACAAGAACACATCACGCCAGTCCTCTATCAATTACTCTGGTTACCAATTGGTCCAGACCTGATTGAAAGTACTAACATTAACATTTAATGCCCTAGAGGGCTTAGGGCCAGGTTATTTGAAGGAACTCACCCTTTGTATGTGCCTACCTGAACCCTGCAATCATCAATGGAGGTCCAATGGAGCAAGGGCTACTTGGGCAAGGGCCTTCTCAGTTGTGGCAACCCATCTGTGGAATCAGTTCTGCAAAGAGGCATGCTGGCACCCACTCTTTGCTCCTTTTGGCACTGGGTGAAAACCTTTTTTATTTTCCCAATATTTTAATAGTTAGGATTTTATTTCCATTTTAAAGCATTTTATTACTGTACCTCTAGATTGATTTAGCTGTGGTTTGATTGGTGGATTATTACCTTACTGTATTATTGTATTTATGTAAACTATATTATTTTATATTATTGTATTTTTCTTTGATTTTGTGAACTACCCAGGCAGTCTTTGGGCTGATGGGCCAGGTAGAATATAATAAATAAATAAATGATACAGTTAACTACATATACCTAAGGGCTTATTTCTATGCTCTAGAATACGTGCTTCCGAAAAGTACTTTTGTGCTGCAGAAAGAGCTTTCAAAGAAAATATCTAAGAGCTGAAACTCAAAGGCGATAGGGAAGTCAATACTGGAAAATATCCCTATACTGCCTTGCACACATACACCTGTAATGAATGCCAAAGGTGTGGGTGTCATTCAGTTTCAATCAGTATCTGAGATGGTCTGCACTTTGAAGGTTCTCTTGAAGCAAAAGGTGGCAGCTGGCTGATTACTGAAAATGCTTGAAGCCAAGGAAGGTCTGAAGTGGCGATGCTGGAAATTCACCTACTTGGTATGGAAGACTAATGCATTTGGGATTAAACACTTTCATGAACTAAATTTAGGTAATTTATTTTTAATGTACTTTTACAGATAATGTGCCATGAATACTGGTGGCATTTTAGCATCTGGTAATTAATTAGGAAAGCTAAAGTCAGAAAGGTGTATTTAAACTGCCTGGACAGTTAGTAGGCTACAGGAATCAAAATTTACTATTAAGTCTAATCAATTTCTCAGCTAATGATCTAATCGTAATATGTATGAACCTATTAGAGCTCCCTCAAAAATCTATCTGCAGTAAGCCAATAACAGAAAGAATCAAGATCATAATGTAATGAATGCAAATCACTTGTAAAATTGTTAGTAACAGAACAAATCCAGCTTATGCTTATTTAATGATAAAGTGTTTGCTGTATTTTATATTAAATATACTAACTCAGAAATGCTCAATACAACATTAAAATATTAAATAGTATATGATTATCTTCTTGAATCTTGAAAAATCTGAATTTTATTTATTAGACTACATTTGAATAAAATACATATTCCAAAAGGGGAAAAAACCTTAATAGACATGAATAAACTTTTTTGCTTCTGAAACTGCATGCACAGCTTGCATGCCATTTTCTGAGAGATATTTCAAAGAATTAGGGCACATTTCTATGTTATCGCCTTCATTACATGCAAGCTAACAAAACAAAGAACCTTCCTTACATCCAAGACAGGGTGTAAGGTGCAACAGCAGCAGTTTCCACTGCCTTGCACACTGCTCCTTGTATTTCATCTAGATAGTCAGTTCTGGCAGTTTTGGTTCTTTCCATGCTGACTATGATGATAACAGGGTGGAAGTTCAATATTCAGAGACCCAACTGCAAGACTGGATTTCAGAGCTAGGACTCAGAATCATCCTGTGCCCTCTCCAGCTATGTTGGAAGGCCATAGGACTGCGTCCTTATTTGCTAAAGGCATATCTGAGTACTGAGGTACGTGGGTGGCAAAGTGGGTTAAACAGCAGAACCACTGATCTTGCCAATCGAAAGGTCGGCAGTTCAAATCCACACAATAGGGTCATCTCCCATTGCTTTGTCCCAGCTCCTGCCAACCTAACAGTTCAAAAGCATGCAAATATGAGTAGATAGGTAACACTTTGGTGGGAAGGTAACAGCATTCTGTGCACCTTGGCATTTAGTTATGCTGGCCAAATGACCATGGAAACTATCCGTAGACAAATGCTGGCTCCCTCAGCTGAGGAACAGAAATGAGCACTGCCCCCTAGTGTCAGACATGACTGGACTTAATGTCAGACATGACTGGACTTAATGTCATGGGAAACCCATTTAGGCACTGGGGATCTTTACAAAGAACCTTGCATTCTATGTACCTGTACAATTTAATTATAGGAACACTATGTAGGATCTATGTATCGGTGATTAGGCATAAATACTGCATTCATGAAAAGGCTACACAATCCTGTCATCATACTGTTTTTATAATTTTAGAGTTTAAGTATTCTTGACAGTGGAGTCTGTGTTGTCTGATTCTGAATGGAGCCAATTAGACCTAAATAAAGAGAATTGTCACACAATAAATAGAGAATCAGCAGTCCATACTTTAAATTTCCTTGCTCTGGAGCCTGAATGCCAGAAGACCATTCCTAGAAATCCTGTTGATTGGGGTGTCTGACTTCATCCATCCATCACAAAGAAACAAGTCTAGGGACTAGTACCAAATGGACATGTTTAGTCATATTGTTCCTAGCTGCTTTCAAATCTCTTCCTCTCACAATTTCAAATCAGAGTTAGACCTCTCAGCCGAATGAATTATATGAGCATTCTGACGTATTAGAAAGTTCCTAGACCTTTTGGTTAGAAGTAGAATTACAGAATAGGTTGACCTGCCACCAGTATACCTTCCCATATCTCATTTCCCCCTCCAAAAGATTTTCTGAAATAAGTGTTTGATTACTCTGAAGAATACTGTGACATCTTAAAGACTGATAATTTAACTGAGTTATGAGCTTCTGTTGACTAGAGCTCAATTCATCAGATACACGATCAAATCAAGAGGACAGTAGTCCAAGGAAGCTTATCCCACAATAAATCTGTTTGTCTTTAAGGTTCTGTAGGATTCTGTCCGGTTTTACTACTCATAGAATACATCTGACAGAATGCTCAAGTTTTCCATAACACCCAGTTCTCCTCTAGCTGTTTCCCCACATAGTCAATGCCACCTCTCAGTCTTTTGGGTGTCCTTTGCCTTGCAAACCAGCTTCTTAGGGGATATGAGAGACTGCAGTGGAAAGAAGGAATTGTCAAAAATCACCAATTGCTTGCCCTTTGGCAGGAACATCCTGTGAACAGAGAAGAGTTCAGAGGAACTAATGATCCAAGCTAATACTCTGAACATACTCTTTTCCCCAGTCTTCTACCCCTTCTGAAAATTTTGTTGCCTTCAAAAAAAACTTAAATGGGGTACTTAATATTTCACAAGCATACAACATCAAGCTAAGCAAATAAAACACAGTATTCATTTACTACATACAGCATTTTTGATCTAAAGCATATTAGATCATTATAAAATATGCAAATACTGACCGCTTTTGCCAATAATAATTTCACAAACAATATTTGTGCAAATAGACAAGCTTTATCATCTTGATTCATTATCTTATTCATTATAGAAAGATTCTGAAAGAGTTTGAACATGTTCATCCATATTATGGTCAGATCATTAGCTCACAGATGCATTAGAGTTAACAATAATTAATGTTGACTTCTATAGATCACAGACTGTCCAGCAAGGAAAAAAAGTATCTCCTTGAATTCAGCTTGTTCAATTCATCATCAAATGCACATAGATCATCAATATTTATGGTACAATATGTAGAAACAAACATTAAAATATAATTCATCTATAGTCTGAAAGTTTAAAGCATTGTTTTTAAAATCTACAGGAAGTCAGAGTGGCATTTTTTATTTTTTTAAGGGGCTTGAATTCCACTATGATCTTCAGTGACAGAATTGCATTCAACTGTAATGATTGATGTTTTCTCTATTCAGAAGTCCCAGTGTGCTTAGACTAGTGGTAGCCATCTTTCCTTGGATCTGCATTGTAAAATAACTCCAAAGTTATTTTAGCATATTTTTGGTCTCCTAAGGAAGCACTTTTACATAAAATAGGCAGTAGAGACATGTCCTAAAATGCCCTTAGATGTTCACATACCTCATCTCAGAGATGAAAACCTCATTTTTATCACTCTATTCAGTTCTGTACTTTGTTGCCAAGAGAATCCTATAATCAGGCACCTTCAGAATCATGCTCTATGCTTCTTTTCACAGCTCTCTCAAATAGATTAGTTCTTATCAACCAAGCTCCATGGAGATAACTTTACATCTTTCCAAACTGTATTTTGTCCTGAATATTTCAAGTAACTCCTGCTGCATGCATTATGGACACCAAATTGCCCAGTTCTGTCATTTATGTAATCGATTCTGAAATCTGTTAAATTATATGCAACTGCCCCAGTACTAACATTTCCAAGTAGCATGACTGGGTTTTATTCCTCTTTTATCAGTTATCAGTTGATATCAATGAGTTTACTTTCAAGGTGGTAAAATACTGTGTTCAAACTTCCTCTATCAGGAAGCAGATTATTAAACATTATTGGTTGATACTAATAGATTGTCATTGAAGATAGTATGACAGATTTTGCTATTCATGCATATTTTGTATTTAAACTGGTTTGTATTTTTTCATTGATTTTATACTTTTTTCTTTTTAAAAAAATAGCAGACTAAAGCAAACAACAATTCAACTGGAATTTAGAAGAGGGGGATTGCATTTAACCCATAAAACCTTTAAAACAGGCAATTTCTGTAACACATTCCTAGCACTTTCTCTGATAACAATGAAACAAACTTGTTGTTCAAAAACTAACTTACATTAGTTTTTAAGTCTATATCCATTGAAAAATGGGTCGGATTGGTGTTTAGACATTTCAGTTCCAGAATTTCATATGTTGGATTAACCAGAGGGATATACTGACGAACACATCTATAATACAGTAAAATAATAACACTTTAATACAAGGCATTATAAAATACTAGATTGATTCTATCAAGTATTTACAATGGTCATTGTAGACCAGTGAATTTTAACCCTTACTAGTATTAGCTCTCTCAGATCTTTAGCAAACGTTTCCCGCTACCTGAAAACATTTTAACTTGCTATCTTCAGACAACTGGGACCTTAAACTGACAGAGCATGAAGTAACTACCAATGAATTCCCTCTCCTCAAGCTAGAGCTGCATCAATATTTAAACCTCATTAATAGGCAAATAGAATTCATGCAACAACATTAAATGTGGAACAATGTAAAATATTGGAGTTTCTTCTGAACTGAAGCATGATGGATCTATAATCAATTTAGATCTCTTTTCTATGACTAAACATTATACAGATCATTTTATCTATGCATCAATTACATAACTGAAACTGACATGTTTGATAGCAGGAAAATGGATTTAATAAGTGCTTGTGTGCTACATCTATATCTATAAATAGTACATAAAAGCTGCAAATATTACTCTCAGTAAAACTCAAAAACATTAATCCTAGCCAAACCATACATAATACCTGTTTTTCCCTTCAGTGTAACTGCCAAAACTGCTAATTAGCTAATTCTTCCAATAGCGTTTGATTTACTAGCATGGAGATACAATTCTGCTTGATTATTTTGTATTATAATTATTACATTACATTTCTGTACTACCCATAGCTGAAGTTCTCTCAGTGGTTCACAACATCCATCTAGTCCCCCAACCAGATTTCAACCAAACCAAACCCAACCCTGCTTAGCCTCCAAGATTTGGCAGGATAAGGCACTTCAGGACATATGGAAGCTTGTAAGCATAGCTTATAACCACGAGACCATTCTACATTTTCCATTGTAAAATCAGGTTGTCCCATTTCTTTTCACTTCTACCTGTTTGTCCATATGTGTCAGTTAAAATTCCACTTTATGATTAAAGCATAATGATTCATCTTTAGGCTTAAATATAAAGTGCGCCCCATGCTCCATAATATTGCTTTTTTAAAAGAGGAGGGAGAAGATCTCTTAGTGAGTTATGGAGCTGTAGGCATTGGGAGGCGGCGGCAGGGGTGTTTTAATTAGACTGTGCTCTACCCAACCATTTTTACTTGCTTCTTAATTCAATTACAAGTCCTGAAATATGTAACAGAGAGTTATAGAGGAATATCAATACAGTTGCTCTACTTACACTATTAATGCATCAACTAGCGTGGCCTCTAAGGATACACCAATTGCATAAGTGGTTGTGATATGTTTTTCTGCAAAACCCATCACACCAGCTTCCCTACTAGAATGGCTAGAGGTCTCTGATGCTACTGACATGACAGGGGAATAAGTGGAGTAACTATTATCCAAACAAAAAGTCATTCTGTATTGCAATGTTAGCTTATTTGGAGCATGCTATAATTTCATATGGATTTCAGTTAATAAAAATGTCTCTATAAGTCACATGCTTCTAATAAAACTAGGCTATCCATATCCAAGATGAGACAGAATTAAAGTTCATGAATGAAAGGCATGATTGTGAGAGAGACTGTATGACCGTGTATCTAATTGTGCCCTCACGGGTTTCAGTAAGACCATGTGTTGAGAAATAGTCTGCTTCAATTATCCCCAAAGAAAAAGACAGAAACAGTAAGTTTACTGCAGTTTCCCTAGCTATAGCATGATTACCATAGAAGTTTACGATAAAAGAATGGTACAGTTTTTCTTGAAGAAAAAGATACAGGGCATGTGATTTCTGCTCCTCTCTCCCCAGTATGATTGAAACATTCATAAAAGTTGCAAGTTGCAACATGATGGTGGCAATTTTCATCATATGAGGACCACTCAGAGCAGAAATTATGGATTACTTTTTTTGAAGCTGCCCTTATTTTGTCCTTATGAAGGATTAATGGAAAATAGTAGCTGAGACCTATTCTCCCACCCTAAAACAATTAATCTACTTTCTCATGTCTGGCATATTTACAATACTCAGCTACTAGGCAATTTTTGTTCATTTTGGTGGAATGTTCACAGAGATGCCAAGCCTTTCAGTATGAATACAAATTAAGCAGTGGCAATTGCTGAATTAGAATTTCCAAAGTACATTTCTGTTTAAAGTCTGAACATAGTTTCAGTAAAGTATAATGATTAAATAAATATTCTGAACTTTGAAAAGGTAAATTATATTCTGCCCTTACAGATTTAAAGTCAGATGTTGACTCATGACTCAATACCTACAGATACCTTATTGGTATTAAAGTGTATTTGTTTTAGCCTCTCAGCTATTTTTAGTATTCTTTGATCATAGTTAATAACCTATTAATAACCAGGGATACACCTGATTTTACCTTTTACTATTTGAGTTGGATAGAGCAAATGGCTATATCAAACACAGGCTGCCAGATCTAAATCTGCAAAACCAACAGATTACAATGAGGCAGGTTTGTTCAATTGCTTATCTTGGCTCACAATTGGGCACCATCTATCAATCTGCCAACTACTTTGCCTCTAAATATTTCCAGATGTAGGAGAGTATAATGACAGAAGGGTGTTTTGAGGGCTTTCTTGATACTTGTGATTTTATGGTCTCACTGGCTACAACCATTCATTGCCCTTGTAGTCATATTCAAATCCCTCTCCTTTTAAATATTAAAATAGCCAGAAAGGAACCAACTACAACATAGTACATTTTTATATATTGCACTACTATTATATACAGGAACACCCAAAATAAAGCAAAAAAACAATCCCATACGTCAAGAGTAGGCCACCTTTGGGGCTCATCTGGCAATTTGAAAACCTGTTTTGGGCACCACTAAAAATGTGTGCATTGCAGATGACAGTGTCAGTTTTTTGGCAGCTGCCCTCTTTATTTCCTAAGAAAGTCACTCATCCCCACGTGCAGCATTCAACAGAAAGAAACATGGGAGCAGCTAAAGGGCTGCTTCAAAGCAATTCCAGCTGCCAGCAAGGTATTTTTCTGCTTGATGGGAAAAAAAGTGAAAGGAATAAGGCATTTGGTGGGCTTACTGCTATACTTACTTTCCAAGTTCACACTCTACTTCAGGCAACCTGGTTGGCTTAGGTTTCTGTGCATTCAGTTTCAGTGCATACCAAAACTCTCCAAATTTCTCTGACAGGAATATAACACTAAAATGGGAGGTAGAAAGAAGACTTTGCTATACACACTGCAGTCATGAAAGTGGAAAAGAAACAAAGAAAATAAAGGATGTTTCTATTATGTGCCCAGTTACTTCCTTACCTCCAGTAATATTATTTTTGTTCCTTTGAACATTTATATGATATGAGACATAACAAAATGTTTTTATAAGTCCCCTCAGTTTCAAAGGAAGCATGCTATGTACCATGGGAGACTGCTGTTCAAGCAAAACAAGTCTAACAATCCACTGTGCTTGGACAACTAGTTTCCCAGTTCTTCAAATTATAGACATTATAACTTCCCTTAAGATGCGAGCTTATGTCAGCCTTCCCCAAACTGATATCTTCCTAACGTTTTGGACTACAAGTTTCAGAATTTCTGACCAATATCAATGCAGGTTGGGTCTGAGGTGTATTAGTCTAAAAGATGTGGAGTGTATCTGGTTGGAAAACACTTGCTTGTTCCAAAATACATTTGTCAAGTCTTCAAGATGGCATAAGACTCAGGTTCTTTTTTCAACCCAGAAGTTGTTCAATTAATTTAATCTTTTCACTCATTTTATTCTTTAATGAAACAATGCATTTTTCAGATAAAAACAAAGGAAATTAAAATAAGGGGTTTTTAAGTAGAAAAAAGATAGAAAATTGCTGCTAGTGTTTTGAGGCCTTTTATCACAAAAGATTCCATTGTAAGTATTCTGTAGAATGACAAAACTCCTATTAAACTACATTCTTTTTAGATCCCTTCTCATACTATAAATATCACAAGACTAGAAAGTATATTGCTGTAGTTTTTTCTCCCCTTGGGTAGAAAAAAATTGCTTCCCCCAGAGATCAAGGAGCTCAGTCTGATTATTATTATCTTGCTGCAACAAAATTATTCTCTTTCTACTTGGCAGTTATACATAAATGGTATATTTTTCCAGTCATAGCAATAATAGAAAAAAGATTTTTAACCATTATTCAATATTATTTGGTCTATGGGTAGTCAAAAGGCATGTTTACACACTGGCTCCAAAAGACATTTATGATCAACCCACTTTTATTCTAGAGAAATGGAGGAGGGCACGGGGAGCTCCGCATCACATGTGTGAGGATCCCCTTGGTTACTAAGCACAGAAATGAAATGTGGGGACAGTCAGTGAGTAAAGTTTGTGGACTCCATTTAGGACACCCTGACAATTCCCCCATATTCCAAACACCAGTCTACACAGACTTCTTCACTTAGTGCTATTGATCAAAGATTTGCATCAGATTTCATTACCACCCTAGGGAAATTATTCTTTCACCTTGTGCATCTACCAGTCATCTTTGCTCCTGAATGCAGCAGAAGCTCATCAGGGGCTACCTATTAGCTGCACCTGAGGAGATCATGTCTCTGAAATGGCCTTCTCTGGCCCTTTATGTGGTTAAGTCCCTAGAAATCTGAGAGCACTTTGCTTAAAGAGTCCAAGCCATCTCACGACTGAAGATTTTGCTGAAAAGTCCAGGGTAATCTTTCTCTGTTTGCTTCTCCATCCCCACCTGCCCTTAGAATCATGCCTGTATGTCTACCCTTCCTGACCAATTGTCCTGGGAAGAGCTAGAATTGGTAGATTATTATTCTTCCACCAGGCTATGCCTTGCTCATTCCTGCTTAATTTGGGTTCATGCTTTTCCACAGATGAGAACTTCTGAGGAATTCTGTGATCTTCTATACTAGGTTTGTTGCACTGGAACACCTGCAAGACCACAGGAAGTCTTGACAGTGGCCAGGCCATTTATAAACGTTATAAATGATGGAAGAGCCCATCACAAATACGTTCTGTACTACTTTCATTCAGCTACTGGCATAGGAAGAGGAATGGCTCACAGCTAAAAGAAATGGGGTTAAATGTAAGAATACTATTTTATTATCCCATTAATGAACAGACCCAGCTTCATACAGGTTGATACCTTCAATTTGATAGAGCAAAGCCTTAAAGCAAATTGATGCACCTGTCAGAGTTGGACATACTGTTCCCATTCCATCTGCTTCAAGGTATGCTAAGCTGGCACCCCTGGCACAGACCCTGCCATAAGTACAGCATTGTGGCTTAAGAAAAGGTTTTTTCACTCATGGCAGATGGGAGAGGGCAGGCAGGTATATAAATATGTCCCCAAACTTGCTAATCTTCCCTGATTTCAAATTGTTTGGACTACTAAGCTATCTGCTGGTTAGGAAAGTCTACCCCAGTCACCTAAGATGTTATAAGCAAGCTGCAGCTAGAAGGTCATATTTAAATTAATTAAAATGTACCAACATATTTTAAAAACAAATAACTCCAAGGCACATATCCCTATGGCCCTCTTAGTATGCATGCCAGGTTTCAGGTGCCTAGTCCTGGTGCTATGCTGCTGACAAACAGGAAGACAGACAGGTAAGCATCTTCTTTTAGTATTACAGATAACTGGAACTGGAATGCATTCGAAGAGATCTGCCCTTCTAACATGGGGTGGGGGAGGAACCACAGCATTCCACATTTCAATCTGCTGGTACATTTCTTACTCATAAATACCACAGGAAAAAATGAAAAGGTCTGCCAAAATATTTATGCGAATTTCCTACCTTGTTATTATAAAACTGTTTGGTTTTTCAATAAAAAAAGAACTCTAAAATAATCCAAGGGTGCAGGTAAATCACATTGTCATTCACTTGAAGTGGTAAGTGGCTCTGACTACAAATTCTGCAGCAATGTTATGAGCCATTATTTATCTGAAACTAAAATCCCAGAACTAAAAGTATTCAGTGCCACTTAGCAACAAAAACTAGTATGAACAATTTGAATAGTATCTTTCAAAATAAATTGCTCCTGATAATGTCAAGGAGGAAAGTTTTAGATTATAGCCACTGATTAAGGAAAGGTGAACTGTTGGCCTCAAATATGCCAATGTATTCAATGGGAACCATCTGGAATATCTGAGGAAGTTCTGACACTTATACAATGCATAAGTGTCATACAATGTTTGATATGGTAACAGATAACACAATCGGAGGCTGCAGGTTTACAGTCTCATAGACATTGAGATTTTAAGGAAAGGGGTTTCATAAGAGGGAAGAGGGAAGCAAGATGGGGCGGCTGCACTTTCACTGGATGGGAGCAGGCTAGTATTCACCTTCCCATTGTAGCCTCCCAGTGGATCTTAATATCCTGCTCGGTGGCATAGGCAGAACATACATCTTTTCATCCCTGCAGTTCCACAGCTACTGGCAGCTCTCTTGTCAATGGATGGGAGTAGAATGGTGTCCCCCTAGACATGAATTTCTATAAGATATGGATTTAACTGAGTAACAGATCATTAACTGACCTAGAGTCTGGCAGAATGCTGACTACTTCTGCTATGAAAATACACTGCAAGACTGAAGTCAAGAGCAAAAGGTCAGCAATTTTATTGTTTCTAATTAGTACATGGTAAACTTGCTCTGGTCTCAATTGTCATTAGACATCATTAATCTAAAGGCTCTCCATATTCATTACGTTGCTTATTTTAGTTCATAGAAATCATGAAAGTAAACCCTTGGTTCACATCATTTATAATAAATAGTAATTGGAAAATAAATTAGCTATCAGTCTGAAAATCATGTCTAAAACAGTAATGTTAAATATGGAAAGCTTTTTTTAAGTTGCACCGTTATTCAAGCTTCAGCTTTGTTAAAACAACTTTTTAAGGTAAAGCGATGAATAAAACCAATGAAGAAATACAGTGGTACCTTGGCTCACGAACTTAATCCATTCCAGGATTCTGGTCATGACCCAAATTGGTCATGAGCCAAGTTATTTTCCCCATAAGGTTCAATGTAAATAAGATTAATCCGTTCTGTAACCATTTTTTAAAAATCAGAATAATATGAAGCAAAGTGACAAAGAACAAAGATCATGGCCATCTCCCCACCGCCTCCCCCCCAGCACAACTGAGATTGCACCTGTCATCCCTGCACGTGCCCGTCATCCTGGTGCCCTGGGTGGGGGAGACGGGCATGAACAGGGCGTACTGGGGGAGGGAGAGATGGGTGTGATTTCAGTCATCTCCACCCCCCTGCCCCTAGCACAATCAGAGCCATCTCCCCACCCCTCCGAGTGGGGGTGCTGGGGAGATGGCCACAATCATGCTGGTTGGAAAGGGGGGAATGGCCAAGATTGCGCCTGTCTTTCCTGCAGGAGTGTGCCTGTGATCATGCACGTCTTCCCTGCACGAACGCAACTGTGATCGTGCGGCCATCTCCCCACTCGGGGTGGGGGCGATGGCTGCCATCTTGGTCGCCACCCAATGCAGAGTTCATGACCCACATCAAAATTTTCATGAAATTTTTGTTCGCAACCCAATTTGGTCGTGAACCAAGGCGTTCATAAGCCGAGGTACCACTGTATTACTAAAGTCTTAGATCGAATAGATGTAGCAGCAGATCTTACCTTCCATCCATTCTCCCTGTAACAGCTGGAGAGTATGTTACTTCATAATACAATGTTTCTTTGGGTTCAAGAACAAGCTCTGTTGCACCACTAAGTGTAGCAGCATCTATTAGCATCACATCCAATGGCAGAGTGTCAGCAGTGGGATTGGTTATAGGGATTTCAATGGTAACTGTATCCTAATGCAGGTGGAGGAGAAGAGGGAAAGACATTTTATTGTTGGTTTTTACCAAAGATGTCAAGAAATGAACTTTTATTTGAAACAGTAGTCAAGTGGTATATATTCATATTGCTAGAATTCCTTGCTGTATGCATCATCCTAATCATGAAAGCACATTTTCAAAGCCTACAAGAGAAAGAAGATAATGTCTACAAAATGGAACAAGCACACAGCCAAGAATTTTCAGATCTAAAGTAATCTACTTCTTAATAGTTTTTGTGCAGTTTTGGAGAAATAACTGAAATGCCTAGCATATGTACCTAATAGATATTTTATGAGGATCTCACACAAATAGAAATCATTTATCAAGTGATAGTGTATTTACCTGAAGCACAAAAGTTGGTGGGAAATTTCCTAACAGTCTGAACTCAGAGAACCAAAGCAAGATAAAGAAAAAGATTTCACCCCAATATAAAATCAGATTCCCTTCAACTCACCACTAAGACACACATAGAAAGAAAAGGTGTACGTGAAATTTCACATTTCAAGTCCAGAGGTTGTGAACTTGTTTGACATGATGTGTTAAACTGTGAAAACAGGTTGTACTGGGTGACAATCTCTCATCCAGACACAGATGGGTCATCCAGACTCAGGCCTTTTTATTTAAAAGTTATTTTAATTGTTAACTTATGAATTGTATTTATGGGATTTTTAGGTATATGCCGAGATGCTTCCAGTTTTTTAACTCTAATTGTATAAATTGTTTATTTATGTTTATTTATTATTGTTGTAAGCCGCCCCGAGGCTTTTTGCGAATGGGGCGGCATAAAAATGGTTTAAATAAATAAATAAATAAATAAAGCCTCTCGATTCAGAATAGGTCCACTCTTCCTGAACTCATGGCTATTTTAAGAATTCTCTGAAATCCCAGCAAGAGCAAATTTGATCCCAATGCCAGTGCTAATCCTCAGATGCCCCCAGCCTTGCCTGCCTCCTCCCCAAATTAATGGTGCAGCTGCTGAAGACTGTTCGGAAAATTCAGCTGGTCCAGAGAGCTGCTCCCAGACATCTGACTGAGGCCAGCTATAGGGTGCGTACAACTCCTCTATTCAAACAGCTTCACTGACTCCCAATCTGTTTGTAGGCACAGTTCAGAGAAATTATTATATCCGTAAAACCTTATATGACTCACGCCCAGGCTATTTGAAAGACCATATTCTCCTGTATGATCCTGCCTGATCTCCTTGGAAGGCCCTTCACTTGGCTCCACCACCCTCAACGGTACACTTGGTGGGAACATGGGGGAGGGTGCTCTTAGTGGTTGCCCCAAGGCTCTGGAATTCCCTTCCTAGGGAAGTTAGGTTGGTACCCCTGTTAGGTTTCCAAAGGCAGGTAAAAACTTTTTATTCCAGCAGACATTTGGGGATGATCTGAGCCTTTGAGTTTTCACTGAAGTAATTCTATTCTCTATATGGTTTTAGTATTATTAATCTGGAAATTTTGTAGTTTTAATGTATAACTGATTTCATTATATTTTTAGCTTTTGTATATTTTTAATGTTTTAATTTTATAAGTTTGAATGTTGTGAACCACCATGAGTCCCAATCACTAGAAATAAGTGGGTATAAATAAATACTACAATAGTAGGGACCTGTAGTTTGAATGCCTCCTAGCTGAGCAGACTAAAGTATAGGAATAAAAAAACTACAAATCACGCGGCAATCATGGTGGCTTCTGAGCATGATTATAAGCTTTCATATTATAATGGAAATGCAGGGGATTTGCATAAGCCACAAGGCAACTAGCATATCATATATAATAAAAACAGTAAAAACTACTAGACATGCGCATTGCTCTCGCATAGTGTCAAAAACAGACACTGTTAGATAATAACACAACCTGCAGGCAAATACAAGATTTTATCTCACACATTATAATTACCCTTCAAATGATACTTTTAGCCTTTTATTACTTTGCAATAACAGACCCAGAATTGTGATTATTTAATCTCTGTTTTAAATTGGAAGTTTCACAGGGAAGGTACACTCTTGCTTTCAGTGAGATGTCATAAACAAACAACACCACAGTTGAGACTGGGTTTATTACAATTGTGGGCTATTTTACTTATAATAAAATAATAAAAAGGGCAGTTGGTGTGAATAAATGAGAAAGATGGCAATAATGAAGTTTATAAAGGAGACATTCTGGATCACAAACAGTGCTGCATAAATTTTCCTACTACCCTTCACAACACCCCTTGCATCTATGGAACGTAGCACTTTAAACTAAATATGCATAAACATGATTTTTGCAGATATAATGTTTCATGTTTAGCAGATGGTAGAGTCATACCATTCTAAATCATTCATTGCCTTGCTTCAATAAGTCACAATTTAAGTTGGTTATAAGATAAAGTACAGATTAATCATGTCATTGCTGTTAGCGAATGTTAGGATCCCACTAAGGAGCTCCATAACAAAGCCCCAAAAGGTAGTTTAAACTGCAAGTTTAGAAACATTTCTTTAATTTTTAAAGAAATCATGGTTTATTAACTAGGTGTCTGGCAACAGTCTAAACATCTGCCAGCAAGTACTATGAGATGGTTTGCTATACATTGTTAGACTTGTTTTCAGGTTGCATCTTTAATTATACTGCTGTTGTTGTTGTTGTTGTTGTTGTTATTATCGATATCACCCCACAGCTGAAGACCTCTGGGCAATTTAGCCTTTGTCAGCAACATTTTCTAGAATCAGAATTCAACAAGGCTCACATAAGAACAGGAGTTAAACAGTTGATTCTTCATTATATTTTCTGCTAACTGCATGATAGAAGAAAAGATTTAAAAGATCCTAGCCTAAGAGGGCAAAGCTTCCCTGATCTAAAGACTGGATGCGTGAAAAACCACACACAGAGAATGCCGATGATTTGCTTAAAAGTTTTTGCCCATAAGTGTCAAGCAGCCCAATGAGTTCAGCAGATGAATGGGCACATCATGCCTACTTTGCTCCCTCCTCCTGCCTCCTTCTTCACTCCTCCTAGCAGTCACCCAGGCTACACCACAGCGATGAATGGGGTACCTCTCTTTGACAGCCACAATCAAGATTCAATCCTGGCTTCCTACAACTGTCAACCCTGCCCTTCTTTGCAAACAGAGACCACCCTCTTAAACAAAAAGAAAGATGGAGCAGATGATCAGGCATGTGGTGGAAATCAGCTGGGTGGTGCCAAAGGGACACCTCTGCTTTTGCCTGAGAGGACGCCTCTCAGATGTGAGCAAGGGGAGCAGTCAACTGGGCAGCAGCACTGAGAGCTGGGCAGCGGTGCAGCCACACTCTCTGGCTAGCCACAAGCTGTTCTCTTGTTCTGAGGATCTGTCCATGGAGGGTTGCGTTGTTCAAGTTTGGACAACACAACAGGCAATCATGATAGGTAGAAACTCTAGCATAGACCATTGTTTCTCATCATGGTTCTCAATCATGTTGATTCACAATGTTAAATCAGCACAACTGTGTTTGGACAAACTACTCACACAATGGTTGTTTGTTATGTTGTGTGAGCCCAGTCAGTATTCCCCCCAAAATCTATGTTTCTCCCCAGCAGGGTACCTCAAAATTAACTCTCTAGCTGTAAGCTGTCTAGAGATCCATTCCATATATAAGAAAGGATTAAAATGTTTTAAATAATTTTAAACAAACAAACTTTAAAGTATTATTTAAACAAAATGGGGTAGCAACATTAGTATGGTAAATGTCTTATACAGCCCTGGATCCCCTCAACACAGTATCCCATTTTAATGAGATACAGAAAGCTTTCTGACATGGACAATTTAGCAGCACACATTCATTAAGGGACAAACAGAACAGCAAGTCTGCATCCAGACTATGCATCCAGAATCTAAATAAAATTCCTTATCCAGATAGGAGTCTCCTTTTCCCTAGACCCAAATATTGTGGGGATGGAAAATATATACATATTAAGCCCATGGTGTGATGGAAAATGGTTAGTTTTTCCCTTGCTTCTTGTTGCAGCTGTATTCATGATTAACCCCCCTCCCAATATAATGTTGGGAAAGGAAAGAAATGGATATAAAGACAATACTATTTGGAAAAAGAGGATTTGAAGTGGTAGAGTTGGCTACTAAAGAGGAGAAAGGAATAATAAAGCAGGAGCTGGCTACCACAATCCATATAGTCCATAACCACCTAGAAAAGTTATTTTATGTATTAGCACAATGGGTCATGTAGACTTGGGGAAATGTACAACTGTTCCATTGTGGTTAAGAAAAAGATTTTCTGAATACTGTGGGGAACTTCCATTTTTTAAATAAGCATATGATTTCTGAATTGTTACAGTTTCCTGAATATATCAATTTGCTTCAAAAATCCAAGCTTTATCTGTTAACATTTAACTACTTAGTAAATGATCCGCATTAGATAGTTTTTCTAAGGTCTAGACACCAAAGAGCTTAATTGCAAATATGATGGTGTTGATATTACATCTTATTTCTGTTGTTTGATAGAATAACCTGATATGTTTTGCAAGGGAGAAATATCAATAAGTACTCACCTTTCTCTTAAAACATAAAATACTGCAAATCTATTCAAGTATTGTTTTCAAATAGTCATAGATGAGCTGCCTTGCAATGTTTAAGAGATAAAAATGAATATTACATTTTCTTTTAGCTAGTTTTTTACACCAAATAATTCAGAGAGAGACTAGAGAGAGAGTTAAGATATGACAGGGGTGTAAATGAAAATCTCCACCTGCTGGATTTAGTGGGCTGAAAGTTACATCAGTGGTGTTCCTAGTGGAGGTAGTCACTACAAGTCCCCAAAACAAGGTGCTCTGGGATACAGTTAGGGAAAACTGAATATAAAAAGGCTTGCAATGATTTATGCTTTAAATCATTTTTTACGAGTCTATATTTCTGGGCAAGGGATACTTGGGGTATTCCTGATTTTTTTGCTATATGTCTGTCAGAAACTATTCTTGTAATTCCCTCCCTGGCCAATGACTAAC